ACCAGTCTGTGATTCTGTGATTAACAAGGATATTCTTACGCCACTAAGAACATCAAGATAAGGACCTCTCTGTGTATTGGTACTGGTATAACTGATAAACCTCTGAATTGGGATTGTTCATTGACTAAATATGTGTTTTAGGAAGAGCTTCTTTTGGAATTTTGTTTCCAGAGAGCCTTTACAGATGATCTATTCTAAAAGGCAAAGTGCAATGATGAGTGCGTTAAGTTCTAAGACTTTTTGAAGTATCATTCCCTATACCAGATTTGGTGAACTGAATCAGTTTTCTACATTGCTTTAAATTCTTGGTCCTGTGTGGCAAACTGAAAAGATGGCAGGGAACACTGGGTTTTTTTTTACATTCCTGTTAGCTCCACGAAGGTACCTTTAGCAGATGCGTGATTTCAAGGAGACTAACAACACACACCTGTCTGGTTTCAAACATATGCTACCCAGATGGAAAGTTGCACACGCTATAAAAATGCATCGAGCCAGGAAAAGACTGTCTTTAGGACCAGGTCACAGTGGGGTGAAGGAGGGCAGGTATGTAAGTGGAAGCAGGGAAGTCTTTTAAGCACCATTAAGGTAATCGAACGATGAAATAACATGCTCAGCCTCGCAGTAGTGCTTTAAAAGAAATTCTCATTGTAAGTGCCTTAGAAGAACTTGTTGATGTCAGTCTGTCCTGCAGCAAGTGAGCTCTTCATCATCCTCACAAAATCACCTTTCCCAGGTTCTGTTCCTTTCCCTCCCCTTCTGCACAGCCGCTTTTGTGCTTGTTTGGGTTCTTTGCTCTCTCTCTTCTCACGGCTGCCGAGTGCTTTCCTGGGCTGTTAAACAGTCGGTTTAAAGATGCTCATGTTCTGCAGAACACTCGCAGTTCCACAGGAAATTAACTTGTACTTTACCCTCCAGACCCGTCGCACAGTAGGTGCTGTGGGATGAATAGGAGCGTCAGCGGACGCTGTGCTCTCCCCTCCTTCACCGTGTGTGGTTCCCTTCACTGCCAGCTACAGAGTGGTGCCAAGGATGTCAGCAGCTGGAATGCCATGCTAACGTTTGATAATGTGGGAAGATGCTCATTACAGAAATGTAAAGTGTAAGAAGGGGATGTTGCTATGTGAGGGCTAAGTATTCCTCTGCTTACTCCTAGTCAGACCTTCCTGTAGCTGTAACTGTCTCATCCTTTGCTCAGTATGTTTCCCCCTCAGTTCCTCACAGCCCTCCAGCGTGCCTGTGTTGAACAGCGAAGGACGATAAAGCCTACAGATGGTATATCCTGGCAGTTAAGAGCCAGCTGGATGATGTCCACGTCTTTAATCCATCTAGTCAGAGATCATCAAGAAAATATCCAACTGTGGGATCAGTATTGGGATTACTTTAGTACATTTAATAGATGGGATTTTTTCCCGTTTCTGTTCTGTGTCCATTACAATTTCAGCTGCTGCAGCTAGATTATTTTCAAGAACCATCTCTGTTTGCCCATAACATTTTTCCCAGTCCTGTTAGAATTGAAACTTGGCGATAGGCAGGATAGACCTCTCCAACAAAGCCCTCCCTACCCGCTGGCCTGACCGGGTCGGGTTCCATTTCAACGTTTGACCTCTAAAACCCCCGCGTGGTCTGCTCGTCTGAAATACAGCATCTCCCTCGAAGAACAGAGGCGGGAACAGATGTGATGATACACGAGATAGTTCTACAGGGGCTTACTTGTTAAAAAAGGAAGCAGAAAAACTTTTGTTGCCTTATAGAATGTTACTTTTTTGTAAATTCTGTTTAAGTGCTAGTAATACAGTCTAGGGCATGCTGAACAGTAGGATTAAAGGATGAGGAAAGAGCTTTCCATTCATTTAGCATCTTGAAGCAGGTTTAAGAATGTGTCACAAACACACACCAACATCACAGATACTGAGTACCAAAGTAAAACCAGTGAGGCAAGAATTGTTATTCTACCTTAACAATAATTTAGCTAAACACAGTAGCATAAAGGCTGTGGAGTTCTAGGTACTCAGAGCCTCTAAAAGCAGGCCAGAAGTGACTTCATCAGTCTTCTACCAGACCAGTTTCTAACGCCGATTGCTGCGTTAGCCACTAGACAGTGCTGCTTCTTCCTCTCCCACCGAACACACAACACTCGGTTTAGATGGCGACAGAGTCATATGATTTGGACTTTGATTGGATTTTGTTTGTTCTGCTCTACGGAGCCTCACATAAATCTTAGCAAGTCACTAGATGGCACCAAAAGTAGTTAATTTTTATATACTGTGATAAAGCAAAACCAGAAAAGCCTCTGCAAAAGCACTGTTGGAGGAGAGCAGGAGGGTGAGAATCCGTAGCAGATAGTGGGGCAGCAGATTTTCTGCTTAAATTTCATGCTGTAACTTTGCACAAAGCAAAGTGAATACTTTTCAGACACATATGTAAATCCCGTGATTTTTTTAAACCAGGAAGTTAACGGCTTTGCTGAATTGAGCCCCAAATGGTTTAAAACCGGTCTCACTCAAAACCCGTGTTTATTGGCTAACGAAACACACTGGGTGAAATCTCGTCCCTCTCAATGAGAGGTTTTAACGCTGATTTGAAGAGGAGGAGGATTTCATTCCCTGGCCTCGCTGAACTGGTTTAAACTCCCTGCAAACGGACAGCCTGATGTGGCATACGTGGAAGCTTCAATCTCAGTTTAAGTGGTGCGGAGTTGGAGGTGTGTCGTACGTCGGCGTTGTACCTGCTGACCTGTGTCTCACTCTGCAGTAGGGTGTTGAAATGAAAGGTGGGACATCAGTAAGCTCCCACAATGATCGCTTAGTATTATTCTGTAATTAATAACATTAAAAATATTCCACCTTGGGAGGAAAGCAGCTTTACTCAACCATTTTCATTAGGCACGTGACAGCATCGACACGTGTAGCAACCTTCCAGAGAGGGGTTTGCTGTATTTCCTTTTCTATTTTCTCTCTTCCTTTCAAGATTCTGGTGGCCGAAGTCGCTGCTGGCAACTGCCAAAATGTCACAAAGACACACAGAGCATGCCATCCTTGTCTGGAGCGGGACAAACAGACCTATCCATAACTAATTAGCAGCATAGCAGTCATGTGGGAACAGAGCAGATTCTGACTAACCCATCATAACCTTCCTGGAAGGCTCAAAACTTCCTTAAAACTGGATGTTAAAAGAACGTACTTAAATTGTACTATAAACTCTAGAGATTAAGAAAGGTTACGGTTAATTCTCCTGCACAAATCCTATGCTGACTTTCACATTTTGAAGGCTATTACGAGAAAGGGTTTTAATGACAACCTCAGATGTTCATCAGGAAATTCCAGGAGCCTATTGGAAAGGTCAGATGGCTTTAAATGTTAGAGCAAATTCTAACAGCGCAGAGCGAGCCTTCTGAGGGACTCAGCGTCACAGTAGCCCAGCATTTGCATAAGCAACTGTCTGAATGTGGTTGTAAAAGGCTATTAAGTGCTTGTAGTAACAACATCCGTGGAAAAGGATAAATCACTGATTTGATATCGCCCCAACAATGCCAGTACCGCAGACAAGATCTGATCTGGGGGAAGAATATCTGTCATTCACAGACCTTGTATAAATAAATACAACAATTTTCTGCCGTGTACTGACAGAACATAGCTTTTGATGGTTCCCAGCTGAGAAGTGAAAGAGCACATGGGTCTGAAGGCTGCTTGTGGACAGTCAAATAGTTTTAAACTGGTTTGGTTTTTTTTTTTGAATTTCAGCTTCTCTCAAAGTCAAAAGGCTTGGACTGGCAAAAAACGTTGAGACTCCATGATGTGCAAAGCAAGCTAGGAGTTAGCCTAGAGGAAATGCTGACCATTGTCGAGGAGGTATTACATCCTGAGCCTTACAGCACAGAGGAAATTTGTAAATGCCTGGGAATTAGCCTGGAGGAGCTCCGCTCTCAGATCCTTAGTCAAAACACGCGAGATGGTAAGTGTATATGAAGTGGTGGATTTCGTTGTACAGTGTTTGTGTTATATAAAACTTTATGTATTAAGAAGTAGTGCAGGTGGAAGCCTTGCCAGAATACTTGCCCAGAATCTTGGGTGGCAAATGAGAGAATTGCTATCACAATTTTCATTCTAACTCTTATCCTAGAGCAAAGCTTTGATTTTGGTTCAACTGTTTCTAAGGTGGTAGAAGCAGCAGATCCCTTACTATTTTAGATCAGCCTGTGCTGTTCTAGAGTCATCTCTGAGTAACTCAGGTGTGTTTCTAGGCAAAAGTCTAAACTAGGCTTCCTTTTTAGGCAATAGCTCTTACAAACCCAAGGGGTTTGGATGGTTATGGCGTGATTAAAATGAATCCTGTTTGCTCTCCCTCAACTGGTGTTAAGGACTGGTATAGATGGAGCATCTGTTTACGCTTTTCAGTTGATAAATACATGATCACTTCATAAAATATGCTCTGGGCAGACAGTCCTCTAGGTCTCTCCTGAGAAAAATGTTCCTGTCGCTGTCAATATTGGTTTTTCTTTTAGCAGAATGGTGGTGGAGGTGAACAATTTACCATTTAACACTGCGTAGGATTATACCATGTAGTCACGAGCACTGGCGTACATGGATGGATCCTGGATGCGTATAGCAGGATTGCCAATAACACTGAAGAATGGAGCATTATGAAATAATTAATTGGCATTCATTACAGGTTTCCCATTGAGTGCAGAATGCTTCTTTAAGCACTTAAAATTATCCTTCCTTGTTTCCATTCTGCAGCTGTAATATATCCTTGCCAGTCCCTCCCAAGACTGCTTTTTGGGACCTATATATTTGATGTGTACGAATCAGTAATGTATCTGTGCATCTTGGTGCTTGTATTTAAGCTGCGTGTTTATCTGGAATGACTGTAAACTTGTATGCTGACCAAGGACCAGTTCCTGAATCTACAACCTCTTTAGCACCCCAGTGGTACCAGGGACCGTGAAACTATGGCATTGTGCGATTACACTGCCAGAGGTTACCGGCATGGAATACGCTTAATCCAGCCCTTTCTAGAGTTAGGGTAACCCTGTGCGGTGTGTACACAAGACACAGGCTGAACCACGGACCTGCACTCCGCACCATTTTCACGGGAAAGTAAAGGCTGTAAATCTTGTACCCTGTCCCCTTACTCGCCCCTTCACGAAACAGTTTGAGAGTATTACCTTACCCATGTTTATACTCCTTATGCCTGGTTTATAAAACAAAATTCTCCAGTTCTGTAGAACCGAATTGTTTATACAGGTTATTTTGATTTTTTTTTTTCAAAAACCAAAGTCTGAATAAAAAAATTGAAACATGAAAGCTCTAGGAGAAACCCAAAGGAAATTTTATCCTGTGACTCTGAATAGCGTTTGCAGATGTTTGATGAACAGAATCTCTTAAACGGGCATGACCACAATTTCATTTGATAAGGCCAATTAAAACGGGGTATGCTGAAAGCTTCTCCACATGTACAATATAAAATTGAATAACAGATTTCTGTAAAACTAGATGCAAAGGAGAAACAAGGCAGACACAGAAAGCAGGACTCTGAATCCGCTGTTTGTTTTTGTTACACACTAAACAAATTACATTTTATGTGGGCTTTGGGAAAGCAGGGGCCGTTTGACAAAGATGTTTTTCTTATTCCCCCTCTACTTTCCCACTACATTTTAATGACAATGCCTGGCTGCTTCACGTGAGAGAAAACACACCGACCAGTCAGTCATCTCTGCGGACTTTCAGAAGGCTGTTGAACTTTTTTGTCCAACATGAAGAAGGAACCGCAGTATCACGTGTGTCTTTCTTGCACATATTTCACCAACTTTTCTGATCAAATATGGCAACGTTAAGCGTAAATTATTTGTGTGAGAATTACTGTTTAGATCATTTACTGGATTCTGAGTTTTCTCTGTGGCTGAATATGCACTGTCAGTAATTTTTTTGTATTATTCAAAGCCCAGTGGTAGTTACAAGTAATGGTTTGTACTGGCATTGTATCTCATGTTTAAGGATCTGGAAGACCTAGGTGTGTGTTACTTTAGTCCTAAGTCTAGCTTCCCTTCCTATACTCCTCCAGTCATGGTCCTGCAAACTTACATCACATTTTCTCAGTGTATAAGGCCGATGAGATAAAACACCACATCCCCCCAAAAGTGTGGGCAAGTGCCAGGCCAGGTCTGGAAGCACACAGCCACCTTGCATCCCGCTGACAGGCAGGTACTCCGGGATTTCTGCAGTTCCCCACTCTACAGCCCGCTCGTTCCCCAGGTTTGGAGAAGTGAGTAAAGCCTCTCTACACTTCCTGTAGTCATTCTTGGGCCAGCTCCAAATCCCGTGTTTAAATCCCCTTTGGGAATGTTCACGCACGGATTGCACTTGTGGCTGCTGCACACCTCCAGAGGAAGCAGTATGTGTTACTTTTGAAGATGCACTCTGCCATAATTTTGGCTCGGACTTGAGTGCTTCACAGAACATTTAGCGTGTGGGAATTGTGGGACATTAAGTATTTATAAGCTTCGCCACAAAAGGGTATTCTCCTATAAACCAGCATATTCCTTTAACCAAGAAATGTTTCTTTCCCCCTTAAACGAGGTATTTTTAAACCAATTTTTCTTTTTTTTTTTTCATGTATAAAACTGTAATCTAATTTTGACATTTCAACGGGGAAGGAAACCGCCACGGGAGGAGCAGGCATCCATTTGCTGCGCGGATTTGGCTGTTTCACTGCCCTCCCCTGGAAAGGGAATTCTAACCCTGTGCTGCAGCATCAGCAAGTGGTGCTTGAAAAGCCTTTCGTTCCCCCTGCCAAGGGATTCGTATTAATGGTGATCTCAGCACGAGCACAGCTTCAGCCTCATTCGCACAGACAGGCCCACGTGAAGGTGGCCTCGCAGATGTTCCGTCGGGATACGTAAAGCTTTAGGAGCGAGCCCCTGTCCTCCAAGAACAGGAGTTACCTCCCAACAGGTAGGCCTAAGAGCGCTTCCCAGCTTGAGGGTCCTACCGCAGCCGCGGCCTGATGCATGTCACGGAGGATTTCGGGAACGTACCATCCCCTTCCACAAAAACACGGTTACTTGGGATGAGCCCCGGCGAGGTGGCGGTCCCAGGCAGTCCCGTACCGTTAGCTGGTAGATGCAGGCCCTCGGGGCGTGCCGTCGGTGGGGCACAGGCACCGGCTGGCCTGGGCCCGTCGCAGAAGCCGGGTTAAAGCTCGCATTGCTCCAGAGGACAGAGCGCTGCAAACCCGTCGTGGGCTGGAAGCAGGTGTCTGCGAAACGGGACGCTTGGATCCAGCCATCGCTCGCCCCCCACTTTGTTTTCAGAAAGCCAGATTGCACAGAGTCACTTGAGCAGTCTCAGCAGAGAAACTGTTCCCCACTTGGAGTAGGGGGTTCACAATCTGGCTCAAATTAAAGCCATCTGGCAACATTTTCTGACGTATGTTGTGAGCCAGAAACCTTCACCCTCATCATGTTCAATCAGCGGGATGCCTAACAGAGAAGGGTCCTATTCCACATGAGTGATGGTGGTGGAAACTGTCCCCTGCACCACTCTGCGTCGGTGAGTTTCTCCTGTTGTCAATGTCGAACAGTCCCATCAGCCGTGCGTAGCTCGTTAATCCGCACTGAAACCTCACGTAAGGAGCCGTCAGGGCAACCAGGAACAAATCTATGGCCCAGAGAGGTTGGGTTTTAGCTAAAGGTCGGAGAGAATCGTGCGGGAAGCCTCTAAGGAAAGGAGTCTGCTGCAGTTGAACGTGTATCGACTGAGTTGCTGAGAGTCACAACGCTTAATTATAAAGAAAAAAAAAATCCTTGTAAATGGAGCCAACAGGTTCACCCAATTTTTGTAAAGTGAAAACTAAAAATAACGACCACAGCTGTTTGGGACTAATAGCTCAGGGCTTCTGTTTGGTTTTAAGAGATTTTGTATGGATTTCAGACAAACTGTCGTTAAGGTTTGTCTGCTGTGACTTCGCAGCCTGGAAGGTTCTTGCTGCAGCGCGAGCTGTCAGTGCGCTGGGAAACACCCCCATTTCTTTTGGGAGCGTTGGGTGGTTCAGTGAATGGAATCTTCCTGTTCCCAGGTGACATGGTGGGAATCCTTGGCAGAGAGCAAAGATGGGGTGCGGAGAACCCACGGAGGGTCAGCAAGAGCTGCTGATGCTCTCTGAAAGGGATCAGGACTGGCGATACAAAGCAGGTGACAGTGGAGGAGATTCCTTATGGAAGACTGATTGTGTGAAACTTCAGGAACACAGCGAGGCTGCGACCTGGAAGGCGGATGAGCTGCTCCAATAGCAGGCTGAATAGACGGGAAGCGTGTTAAAGACTCAGCCTTACCCGGGTATAGGGGTCACAGAGTCACAGAGTGGTTGGGGTTAGAAGGGACCTCTAGAGATCATCCAACCCCCCTGCCAGAGCAGGATCCCCTAGAGCAGATCACACAGGAACAAGTCCAGGCGGCTTTGGAAAGTCTCCAGGGAAGGAGACTCCACCACCCCTCTGGGCAGCCTGTTCCAGTGCTCTGTCACCCTCGCAGTGAAGAAGGGTTTCTCATGTTCATGCTGAACCTTGTGTTTCCCAGTTGATGGCCACTGCCCCTCGTCCTGTCACTGGACACCACTGGGAAGAGCCTGGCCCCATCCTCCTGACACCACCCTTGTCCTTGTCCTCCTGAACGTGTCTCTTCAGCCTTGTTTCAGCTTTTCAGGTTTACTTTAATTTCTTCTGATCTGTATCTGTTTCAGCCCACAGAAGGTGTCACTTACCCTCACCTGAGCCCACAGGAAGCTTCTCCTCTGTGCAGCTGATACCCTACAAAATAAACCTCAATCTCTGTGCCATCTGTTCAGAAAGGGACAAGAGAGACCCCGAGATTCTGACTGTGCGATGTGTCTAGGTGTGTAGCTGGACAGATCATTCCTGCCTGGCATTGGGCTACACAGAATGTGACAGAGAGGGAGCGTGTAGTGATTTCCGAGGAGCCTGATTCTGGTCAGAGACTAGATCCTCAGTCCGAATGGTGCTGTGTCGTATCACAGGATCACAGACTGGTTTGGGTTGGAAGGGACCTTAAAGACCATCCAGTTCCAACCCCCCTGCCATGGGCAGGGACACCTTCCACTAGACCAGGTTGCTCCAAGCCTCATCCAGCCTGGCCTTGGACACTTCCAGGGATGGGGCATCCACAGCTTCTCTGGGCAACCTGTGCCTGTGCCTCCCCACCCTCTCCGGGCCATGTTAAACGAGTGGAGCACCTGACCCAGGCACTGCACAGACGCCCTTTGGGAGGTTTTAGGTTCCTCTCGAGTTAGGAGGGAAATGGGTACCACAGGGCAATTCGGGTCCAGGTGGGATAAGCGGTTCCCTAACCTGCCCCTTTCACTGACAGAAGATGGAGCTGAGGGTACCCCCACCCCTAATTTGGAAACACATTTAAGCGGCGAGAGCCAGGCCTTTATTGTTTACTGAATTAGGAAATGACACTGACGTTTTCCGTCAGATGAAGGACCTGATGAGCACGCACCAGGACAAGGTCAAGGATCCGCATGCTTTTAAGACCCTGGCACTAGTTCCCTGCTTTTCCACTCTCCTTTGAGCACCACGGAGAGTGAGCCCATATATCCCAGTCCTGTGTAGCACCGGAAGGTTCGCCTGGAGGGCTTCAGTCTTCCCCCTGAACAGTTGCACGCACTTTGGATTCGGTTCTTCCAGCCACGACAGGGCACGGCTCAGGAAAGCAGTCCTTTTCCAGTTGTCAAATCCGCGGCCGCACGAAGCGCACATATTCCAATGGGTTCCCGAAACAGCAGCCTCCGCAGCTCTCTGGCAGGCCCTTTTAATTCAGGTTTCGTTGATGCGGAGCTAATAGGCGGTGACATAGCAAGGAGATCCCGATGTGGATGTCATTCTGGAAGTGTGCTCCGCGACCTTTTGTTACACCGAGCTGGTTAGTGGGACTGCCCATCCAAATGGAAGAGGTACAGGTTTCTCTGCCGCCAGGAGCGTTTGGTGTTGAAAGCCGGAGATGTGCGAATCTCCCGGAGTACAGAGGTGTTTGCTGCTCTGAGGGTAGTTTCACCTGAACGGCACGCTGCCAGAGGGGAAAAGCAAACTAGAAAACCTTGGTTTTAACCGCGAGTGTAATTCTGTGACACAAAAGGCGGCCCGTGCCCAGCCCGTGGCGCACGTAACGACGCCAGCCTGAAAGCAGCGCCTGAAAGGAGCACGCGGCTGCGCTTTCTCGCTGGAGAGGAGCCTGGAAGGCTCGCTTCCGCAGCGGCAAGGTAGCAAGTTCTCCCCTATGCGGAGCAACTCCCCCCTGGGGGCTGGTGCCGTCAGGGACCCGGCTCAGCTCTGGCTGGCAGCCGGAGCGCACATTCCGGTTGCCAATTCATAACACGACGAGCGCGACGCAGCCCCCCAGATTTTTAAGGTAATCTGGCCAGCGGAGCGTTGCTCTACCAAAGGGTGGTCTCCGAATCAATCACAGCCTTTGGCAAGCCTGTTGCCTCACAATTGAAACCAGACATGTTTTCAGTTCATTCTTTGGGTTACTACTGTTCGATGGTGATTTACAAGAGAGTGCGAGCTATGGCAATCTCTCACGCAACTTTAGATACTCCCTAAACGAATGCACATTTAGAAACCTCCTTGCTCTAAAACAATGGCTTATAAGAAAAGAATATTTAAAGAGAAACCATCCTGAAAAATAGGCCAAGCCGCCTTGCCTCAACGCTCTGCAATACCGAGGCATTGCTTGGGAGAACGCAGCACCGGGAACTCCAGCAGCAACCAAAGCCGGTGGGGTACAACATACCCCGGCGTGGGACCCCAAAGCGCGTTTTCCCTGCATGGCACTCCCAAGGGGGTGTTTCTGGGGGGCACGCAGTTTCCTCATTTCTCTCCCAGTTCGAAATGCAGCCAGGCAGCCTCCTCAAAAGACGGCGACACGGGGTTTCTCAGTAGCAGGCTGGGTTGGATTACAAAATAAATACCACCAGAAGCAATAGCACCAGTAGCAGAACACTGCTACGTGCCGTGTCTTCTGTCAGTTCAGACGACTCGCACCTCCCTCAGCGCTGGATTTGCAGTGTTTGCAGGTGTGATTTATGGCACCTCTGGAGAAACGAAAGGGATTGTACAGGCACTAACGAAGTTCTCGTCGGCAAGGGTTGCAACCCGGAGCGTACATCGAAACTTCAGCCTGGACACGGGGTTTTTTCCAGCCTTTCAAGGAAGATTTCCACATCTACTTGCACATGGAGGTTGCTGAAATCAGCAGCAGCGGTTCCAGAACTTGGCTGTCTCCACGGAGCGGCCAAGTGGGAACTCCATGTGTCTGGGTCAAATAGCGAGTTGTGTCCTGAGTACAGGGCTTGTGTCTCTTTTTACCTCTGTCTGAGGGCTTCATCAGCCCTTTTAGAAAGGAGGAGGGACCAGAAGTGGAAGCAAGGAGAGAGAGGCTTTGCTCTGGAGGGGAATTTACGCGTAGAAGGAAATTGGGATGTTCTGAGGTGCTCTGACAGCTGTGCTTGATTTGTGATGAAACAAGGAAACGCACCGCAGTAGGTGCTTCACGTAGAGAATAAAGTCCACTTATCTAAGGTTTACCACCCAAACAGCTCAAGTGAGCCAATGTAATCATAAATTAAACTGCCACGCACGCTTCTGGTGGTGTGGCAGCCATGGTACTGGCAAACAGAACTATACTGGGAGAGAAGAGCAGTGACCGACAGCGCGAGCCTAGGAAAGGCTCATCCGTTCTCGGGCATTCGTTGCAAACCAAACCCTCCTGTAAATAGGAGCAGCGTGTGGAGCCTGAAACCACGGCCGCCCCACTGTTGAGGCTTGGTGGAGGTCTCCACTCCCGTGGCCACGCAGGTTTGGGCACACCCCCCTTTTCCTGAGGAACTGCTTGTTCTTGGCGCGATAGAAACGCTTTAGCCAAAACCCTTGCGCTGGCGTTGCTCTTGGTAGGTCGGCACTGAGCCGTACCCGTCTGGGCTTGACGGCTCTTCACATCCATACGGGCAGCTCTGACCCTCCGGATGGTACCACACAGCAAAGATAAACCCCAGAAGCCCAACTGAAAGCACCTGTGCACCTCGCTGCGCCTTAAATCCAGGTTTAGGTACAGCCTGCATCGCTGAAAATATCTGAGAGGGCTTCCTTACCAGTGCACCAGGAAATATGGAGAACAGCGGTTTTGCTAACCTCCGTCGGGGGAAAAGAAACAAGAAGTGGTTGGTGGGTTTTTTTGTGGTTTGTGGTTGGTTTTTTTTTTCAAGAAAAGCTCCATGGTCACAGTGGGATAATTGCTGCTGGTGTGGCCTGGAGCAGTCACACACAACACCCCAGGCCCGCGGGTGCCCGCTGCCTGCCTGCTGGGCGCTGGGTACCTGTCTGGGGTTCCCGTGACTCGGTTTTGCTGGTGTCTGAAGACCCGAACGCTTTAGCACAGGCATGAAGTTACCACCGTCACAAGACGTGTACATTTATTCTGGTGAGCTCTGAACACTGTATTATTAGGGCTTTTAAAGACGTAGCTGAGCTTTTGCAGAGGACTTTTAGCTTGGAGAGTTTTAACATAAAATATTAATTAGTAAAAAATACAATTCGACTACGTTTTTCTGCGTTTCTTCCGTAATGAAGTACTACCTGCAGTGCTTAATCTGTTCATTTTGTTTAGTTTCCACCTTCAGGTTATACCAGCGCGCAAAGCACGTGTACGGTGAAGCTGCCAGAGTGCTGGAATTCCAGAAGGTCTGCAGTGAAGCACCTGCCAACGCGCTCCAGCTGCTGGGAGAATTGATGAACCGGAGCCATATCAGCTGCAGGGAGATGTACGAATGCAGCTGTCCCGAACTGGATCGCCTGGTAGACATCTGCCTGTAAGTTCTGACCACAAGGAAGAGTAATCGCCTGTTGAGAATATTGTTTGGATTGATGAGAAAATACGCCATCGCTGGCTATTGCAATTTTAAAATGAAAGTATTCTTGTCTCTTATTACAAAATTAATCTCCTGCAGGGACATTACATGGGCAATTGTTTCCCTACTGACATCTGTGTAATACTTGCAGATGAAAGCTGCAGTTTATGGCTTTATTACAGGCTTTGCTTGTGGACTGACTCATCATCACAAGCGTTACGTTAGGCTGTTGGCTATTCTTTTGAGTTGCAGAAGAAGTCATAACTGGTTTTCTTAAAACACCATCCTCGTTCTGTTTGAACTCCCTTACTTTTTGTGCATTTCTTAACCGTTTCGGAACGGCCACCGTGGGAATTCCAGGGCATGAGCAAGCTGCTCTCCGTTCTCGGGTTGCGCTGGAATCGTATCGGAGTGTCGTGAAACGCTACTGCATTTTTTTCAGTCTGCGGTGTCGCATCGGTGGGATGTCGCTTAAGAGAGGAGTGCCTTCGAGCGGCGGACCCTGCGCTGCTGCGCCCGGCGTTGCTTGGCCGGGTTTGCCCCACGTTACTCCGCCTCCATCACTGCCCCAGCCTCCTTCCTTCAGCTGGGTTCCCTAACTCAGTTCGGCTGCGATACCACAAGCCCTCTTGACTCCAAAACACATCCCCTGAGTTCTGTTTCATCCCTTCTCTTCCTCCTTTATTCTTCCCCAGTTTCCTATCCTCTAGCTGGAATAAACGGAGCTTGAGTAATGGCATGGAGCGAGCGGGAAATCCCGGGTTGCTGCGTGGAGCGGGCTGTTGCTTTCCTAACTGCCACCATGGGTGAGGAGACCCGGTACAACCGCGGCTTCGTACGGAAAGTACAAACGCTTGGTGCCTACATTCTACAGGGTGTTTCGCCCATACACAGGACCAGCACGGAAGGATGGACACATCTCAATCCCTCTGAATTTCCATTTTCCAGGCACGTTTAACCACGGGACAGACATCTTACGCTAGGTTTGATCTAAATGCAGTGCCTAGAGAAGGGATTCGATGGTCGGTGACCGTTCTCGAGGTGGCTTGGGGGCATGAAGGGCTGCCCACCTGAGTTTTCCCACCCTGTCCCATCCCTGCTTCTGCCCCTGCCACCTTCTCCCAGCCGCTTCCCTCGTTGGCTTCGTCACAGCTCCTGGTGATGCCACCTTCGTGCTTCTGCTCACTTGTTACGGTGCCTGCTTCTCCTGGGAGCAAGGTGTCTGGGAACTGCCCCAAGCCAGGGCACTACTGCCCTGCCAGACAGGGAGCGTGGGGTGCCAGACAGGGAGCGTGGGGTGCTGTAGGGGCTTGCAGGCTGGAGGTCAAGAATGGCTGTTCCACTGTCTTTAGAAGCAAATGCCCTATGAAACTATCTCATCCTCTCCATATATCTCCCAGTCTTGAAGAAAACAAACCATTCCAATTCAAAACTAAAAAAACAAAACCCAAAATAACTTCCTTACCAGCTGAAAATGAAAGCTAGAAAAGTATTTACCAGCAACTGGATTTTTTTTTTTTAAACCAAGAAATGAGCCTGGTTTATAATGAAAACACCGATTTTACAGACTCGCCATTGGCCACGTGCTCTCTTATGTCTCTGCTCACGCGAGTTTTGTAGGTGGCAATACCCGGGTTGGTAAATTGATGGAGTATGACACAGGTCAGTGCCCAGGTGAGTTGGATGTTTGGTTTTGCAGACAAGATGGAACGGCCTCTGAGCCTGAAAACCAAACTTAAAATCCAAACGGAAGACTGCAGGACGTTCACGGATTATTTTGCACGTGGGCTACACATGCTGTTTTGTGAGAAAGCACCGAGAGGCCCCGACAGCCTGAGAGCAACCGGGCGATACGACTGTTGTTCTGCTCTCAGGAGCCAGTCCAGCACGGAACTGCCACGCTACGTCCAGTTCACTGTACGCCGGCACGACCTCGGAGTAACCTGCGACAGGCACTCAGCGGGGCGGTTCCGCCACGGTTCTCCCAGCGACTCGTAGGGAACTGCTGATCTGTGCGTGAGAGGGGAGAACAGAGTGACAAAAACTGTGCTCTGCTGAAGCGCAAGGTAGCAGCACTGCCCGCTCTGTGATGGCACTGGCAGAGGAGAAGCCCTAAAACTGAGCATTTTTGGTACAGTAACTACCCGGCATAGCCTCAGTCAGCAGCATCCGATGGCTGAACTTTGGTGACGAGCCAGTGCAAGCGCCTTCTCGGGATGCCCGGCCTGAGCCCTGCCGTAGGGCCTGCTCTCAGAATGCCGGCAGAAAGCCACCCCGGTGCACGGAGCGGAAGACAGAGTTGGTATGAACTGCGCGGCAGCACGGAGGTGCCTGCGTGGCGCGTGAATAACCAGCGCGGGTGCTAGCCAGGGCCTGCTGCAGCACGATGCTCAGCACGGGGATGCAAATCCTCCGTTTCCCATCCCTGCTGAGCTCTCTGACGGCTCGACAGCTGCTGCGCCCAGAGCTAGCTCGGGTGTCGCGACGCCGACTCGCAGGCGGTAGCACGGGCACAGCCGCAGAACCCGAGGGAAAGCAGTACCCAGTGAGGGTTTCACTAAATCGAATTAAAAGTTATCGCAGCGTTTCAGTTCCAGGGACCCGAATATAAATAGGGAAGGGGAAGAGTGCTGCGTGGGCCCGTGTGACGTCGGATGTCTAACAGGGCAGCAGAAGAGCCCAAGGCTGGTGGGATGGGCATAGCCAAGCACCACGGCGGAGTGTCGCTCGTGTGGGATGATTTCTAATCGGTAGATGGTTTAATCCGCAAGGTTTATGGCATTCATCACGCAGGAGCAAGTACATTATTTGTTCGTTATTCTTTACAGCCTTGTAAACTCAAGAGTATTTCCTAAGAAATAGATCTTCTTAAGAAGCTGGATGCTCTTTAATGTTTCTAGGTGCTCGGGCTGGGTGCAGCTTACGCCAGCATCTCCTTTTGGAAGTTACTGGGGGCAAAAAAAAGAAAGTCTTACCTTTGCTCAAGTTGTACATTAAAAACTGTGGGACGTAAAGTCACTAGTCACTCTAGGAAAACTTGGCTGCCGTGATTAGAGAAATGGCCAGGAACGGCGTAAATTCCATCCTTTCCTTAGAGTGATAGGCAGCTGCCCTGTAACTTTAAAAAGCCTCTCCAAAACTACATTCCACAGAATTGCCCGCACCTACTGCTGCTCTCTCCTTACAAGGTTTGAACTGTGAAGAATAATCTGCATGGCCAGATGGTTTCTGTTTTGCCTAGATCTTTATGTCTCACCCTACGGCCTCTGCCAAGAAGGAGAGGGATCCATACTTGCTGTGGTTTGTCGTGCTGAAAACTGTAACCGCTAGTTGGGCAGTTGGGTTTTTTTTACTTTCTGCAAAGACACAAGACTCCTCCTTTCTCTGTCCCCTCTCACGCTGCTGGCGGCCGTTTCACCTGTTGGTCTTTCAAAGCCACGCCGAAGGTTTACTGAGCCATGAAGGAATAAAAAATGGGATCTGAGCTCCAGAATTTGTTAGGTACTTCTGCAAATCTCTCCGAATCCTTGAGTGTTGGAAGCGACTTCCCTTCACTCCCTGACTCTCCATCTTTTGGCAGTAGAAATCCTGATGCTTTTTGCATTAGCAGCCGTGCCTCGTAGCATGGCAGATCGCTGAATCCTCCCGGATCACTTTGGGAAGATACGGTTTTTACATTACGGTGGCTGAGACAATGCCCCCATTTTATCAAGATTCCTATCGCTGATGATTCTGTGACAGCTGCGGAGCCCGGAGTCACGGCACCTTTTGGGAACTCAACCGACAACCGCCGCACAAGAAGTTTGCAGCTCTTTCAGAGCCAGAAGGGCGTACAGGTGCTCTCCAAACGCACACTGAGCTGCGAATCAGAGCAGCACCCACTCCCCCGTTTCTATATTTAAACCTCATCACATTAATTCCATGCTTTCCGAATAGCAGGTTCATAAATCTGAGTGTTTGGAATTAACAATATTGATCGGCTTTTCTCACCGCGTAGAGCACAGTGAGTTTTACAATGCGGCACTGCGACGCCTCACCTATTGCTTCCAAATACCAAACTCTGGGACTTGGGGTTTCGTTCTTTTGCAGTACGCGTCTTCACTCTCATTTACACCCTCACGCACACCTCCCCACGAAGCAATTCTCGTTTCGTCCCGCGCACACTGCAACGGGCTCTGTAACTCCTCAAGGAGCAGAGAGCAGAACCCGGGGCTGGGAGCTGAGCGCCCCCAGCGCTGGGCTTCCGATACGTTCTCTTTCTCACGCGCTCCGTCTCTCCCGCCGTCCCTTCCCCTCATGGCTGCAGCACAGCCCGGGCGGCGCGTCCGGCACTTGCCCAGGCGTTAAACCCCGCGTGCCGCCTGCCGTGTCTGCTCACGCTCTCCATAAACGCGCAGTTTCCGAAGCCAGCGCACAAGAGGGGAGTGTCCGGCTGTGAATCACGCCACCGGAGCAGCGGGATTCACTAGGACTGAACTGCTTAATACTCAAAAGAGACGGTGCCAGACCGGTCCCAAAGCTGACGTCCTCGTGTTCGCCCTCCAGACCTCCCACGCGCCGCAGTCGATGCGCAATTAGGGGCTCAATCCGCATTCTCATAGTGCGGGTACCTGGTTTTGGGGTGTTGGCCCAGCAAGACGCCAAGTTCCTCAGCACCGAGCCCCAAGTATCTAACCGTGTCACCACGTTTGAAACGCTTGGCCACAGTATTTTGAAACACAGTGACTTCAGCTCCGAAGCAGGCATATTTTCTGTCTGCATTATGCTTTATTTCAACTGAGTGTTTTAAAATGACTCAGTAAAAATGAGGCATGAGCATGACCACAGAGAATTATGAAATCCATAAAAGGTTCAGAACAATTCTGAAGGGATTTCATTTGCCTACCAAAATAAAAGCCAGACACCGTCCGAACTGGGAAGTTCTGACTGAGGTAACACACCAAGAGAGCACAGACAGTTGATCTGGCAGACTTTGAAAAGCGGAATGGGCCTTACGAAGTCGAAGGGAATTTCCCCACTGATTGCAATGGAGACTGGATTGGATCCTGCTCGTTTTGGGATGTTGCTCCGTGGGCCAGAAAAGACAAGAATTGCATCAGAGAATGAGTGGCTTACAGGAATAATAATAAGAAGTAAAATAAAAGACCGACAGGAAACAGAGAAAGAACATAAAATCGAGTCAGTACGAAGGGTGGCACCACACAGGCAGAGTGAGGAAAGTGTTTCTGCGCAGGGGGAGATGTAAGCGTGTTCAGAATCAAACGCATATGTCCGTGCTTGCTTGAAATACGACCGAAACCTCTGCCAACCCCGCGGTACAGGAGACCCACTTTACATAAAATGCACATATGAACCACTGCCACAGCCCCCCCGGGACCAGCCATCATTTCCCGACGCGTTGCTCGCAGGATGCCATCTCTCCCGCACACCTCCGAGGACTGGTAAATCTCTCCGTGCGTTTGCTCGCAAATCAGATTAAATCTCTCGAGAATAGGGTTTCAAGTGGGTTTTCTAAATCCTCCTGTTCTGAGTGGGTTAGAAAAGCCCCAAAGAAATTAGTTACGTCCTGCTTTCCTCCTTTCTCTGCACCCAAGTCAAGGCCAGGAACAGGTGAGGAAGCGAGTGAAAAGAATCCTGCTAAATTCTAACGAGGTGGCGTCTGCATCTTGCAGAGCAGTGGCGTGGGATCTGCTGTAGGACATTTCCAGACCAGTATCTTGGGGCTGGGAATGGTTTATATTTGGGATGTCACTTATTTGTCATTGTTCTTTCTATTCCCCCTCCTTAGTGAGAGCATTTCTTTCTTTTGGGGCTAGATTCTTGCTTTACCGCAGCCGCTGTGAGTCTGTTACGTTCCTGAGGTTCCTCTGAGGGAGATACCTCACTCCGGCCCTCCGGCGTGACCGGATGTCTGAGGGCAATGGCCCCGTGTGACTCCTTAACTTTCCAAACTCTCCTTTTCTTGACTGGCACGCTCGGCAGCCCTGCGGAAGCCTGCGGATCTTCGGCGTGTTTCAGATCTGCCTGGAAGAATGGAGCTATTTGTCTTTGCCACAGCAGAGACTGGCTTGCATGCTACATCCTGCACAGTTCGTTTATGAACCCCCTTTTGTTATTTCTGTCATTTATTTCTGTTTTCACTTCGGATGTCTTACGAGCGTTGCTAACGCAATCCCTCTCTTCTCCGGCTTTCTCCGCCTCAGCTGTGCCCTGATCCTTACAACAGCTGAGGCGCTGTGAAAGGGGGGTGACTTTTGGAACTGGCAGAAATGACTACATGGCGGTTTCAAGCATCAGCTGGTTCATTTAAATCCGAAGCGCTAACGGCACATCGCTGTCACGTCACGCACAGCCGCGCCAACGCCAGGACACCAGACGACAGACGCGTTCCGAGTGGAGTATTCGCTAGCCTTCTACAGGCGTTTTGTATGTGACAAATTGCCTCTTTTTGGGTTTATTTTACATGACTTTTTTTTTTTTTTCCCCTTCTGTTTTGTTTCAGGCGCGCGGGGGCCATCGGGTCACGCCTGACCGGAGCTGGATGGGGTGGCTGCGCTGTGTCGATGGTGCCCGCTGACAGGCTGAGCGCTTTCCTAAAAACTGTAAGAGAAGCGTATTACCAAAGTGACGCCCAAAGGTCAGCGCGGGAGGAGAACAGCCTCTTTGCTACCAAACCTGGACGAGGAGCTTTGGTTTTTGTTGAGGCCTAAGGAACATTAAAAAATTTAAAGAAACTATGTGGGGCATTCAGAACTGGCAGTACTTCCCAGGCCGCAGTAAATGAATGCCTTCTCTGGTTTTTATTGTAACGAGCAGTTGCTATTATCAAAATGTGTTTCTGAAGAAGCGATTAAAAGAAAACTCTTTCATATTAAAAATACCTTTCGGTGGAAACTTTGACTTACAAAGCCAATCATCAAGGAAAACCAAAATAAAGATGACCCTTTTATCCAGCGGATCTCTCTTTTCCGTTTACTGCCATCGGAGTAAGGGCGGGTGGAGCACGGAGCCGTTTGGTGGTGGGATAGGAACCTTGCCCCGTTTGCAGGGCTGTTCAGCTCTTGGGGTGCTGGATGTTTTGTTCGGACTCCTGTAAAACTTGGAGATTAGACTGAAGCATTGCAAACATTGGAAGGAACTTGCCAAACATTGGAAGTTTCACACTCTCCTCCAACAGGACTGGTCCTGTTGTAATTGATGTTAATATTGCTGCAGGCCTAAGAAGAGGTTAGGGACACCTCACGTTAAGCAGGGAAGCTTTCCTGGGTTTCTTACATACCCTGCAGCAAGGGTGGCTTGTTGTGACAGGTGCAGCAAAAACAAACACTGTCTGCGAGCCGTGCAGCGCGACAACTTGGACTTGTCCAAACGCCGTCTGGCAGTTGTGGAATCCTAGCTCTGCTTCGCCAGGGTCGAGCATTGGCACTGGTACCACAGACCGTTACAAAGAACTGAATACAATCCACTGACCACGGAAAAATGAGGTTAAAATCTCGAAGGAATCATTAAGGTGATAATTCACTCCCTTGTACCAAGCAAAAGAAAACAGGTACGACCAAGGGTAAATGTCGTTAACAGAGTGTTGACAAACCCGCCTCTCTGTCCCACTTCAGTCCGTGCCGGCCCGAGGGCCGTAACCGCGACGCGCTGGACGCGCAGCCTCCACGGCGCGTGACCCATCCCCTCGGAGCAGCTCTGCTGGTGCCTCAGCCCTCGCAGCCCTAAAAGACGCGGCGAGATCTGTCCCTGCGCACGTTACCGCGGTGCTGAGCACAAGCGAACGGCCAGGAGTCTGCACCAAATCAGAGCTCTCCCAGAACTGATCCTCTGTACGTTACCCATGCTAATTCCACCCAAACCCAAATTCTTAGAGGCTACTAATTCTGTGAGAGGGCTCTGCCAAATCTGAACGCAGCCGATGAACCTCGGCCAATGCAAAGGGCCAGATCTCTTCCAGAACCTCCGAGGGGACATGCAACGGGAATGTCATCACTGGAGAAGATGCTGACAGTCGGGGAAAGTGGAACAGAGAGCACTCAAGCAGATCAAGTACTCGAGGGGAAGAGGATGGGGTCTGGGCAGGATGTGGAGAAAGGAACAGACAGGGGAGGACAGTTGAAAGGATGCATTGGAGAAGCGGGAAGCAAGGGATGAAGGACAGTTAAGAACAAGAGGCAGAATTCTAGAAAGGTTTAATCTCAAAACATCTATGGAAATCGAGTATCTTGTGACCCATTTGTAATGTAGGGCACATCCAACCAAGCCTGTAAACATTGGAGTCCAAAATCAAACAGCAGCAGGTAAATAGCTTCAAGAATCACAGACTGGTTTGGGTTGGAAGGGACCCTAAAGCCCATCCAGTTCCAACCCCCTGCCATGGGCAGGGACACCTTCCACTAGACCAGGTTGCTCCAAGCCTCATCCAGCCTGGCCTTGGACACTCCCAGGGATGGGGCATCCACAGCTTCTCTGGGCAAACTGCCAAGATAGCCGTAGAGATTCTAAAGAAAACAATGCCCTGGCTATGTTACCAACTGCCTTATTAAATATAAACCTCAGCTTAATTCAGCGAGTTCCTGTTTATTACCCTGCCATAAAACCAGAGTACGGCACAGAACACCCCAACCCTTTCATCAACACATTTTCATTGAACTTCACATCGGTGGGATTCATGGAAGCGCTAAGCAGTGCATGAGCAGAATGAAGATGTATTAGGGTTTGGTTTTCTTCTTTTTAAGTTGAGCATGACATACAAAGTCATGGAATCTTCCCAAAAACATGCAGGCTGCAGTACATTTCAACGTTTTTCTGTCAATGAATCTTATAAATGATACTCTCATAAACAAAGGCAAGGAAAACAGAAAACTGGCACAGCATAAAAGAACGCACCCGAATGTTCTGAACTTCTGATTCATTTCTTTCCTTTTTTACTGCCTCAGCATCCTTCCCATACTTTTCCTGAAATCCGCAAATCAACCTGGGACACAACTTCCAACGAAAGGCCTACGGTGTTCCACCTGCATACGCCAAACCGGCACTCGGGCCTTTTGTTTTACTGCCTACCGATCTTTCTAAACAAAACCAGTGAATGAATCTGGTTTTGTTTGCTTTTTACAATTCTGAAGGCATTTTCCCACGTAACGGTAAACCCCCTGGTAAGCAGAGCACGAGTGACCTACCAGCGAGGCGCAAGGTGGCCGCAAGGCCGTTAGTCGTGTTTCTAAGGGTAAAGCAAGAAGATTCTGGTTTAGATAAATTTTCCTTGTATAAAGCAGCAACTCTGAAGCATAATTCCTAAGCAAGTCCTTCCACGTCTGTATTTTCCATAGCTTTTTCTGACTACATTTCCAAAATCCCTTCTGTAGCTAAAATCATGCTGGTTGGGATATACATACCCGCACCTACAGACAGGTATTTGGAAAGCTAACAGAATGAAACACCGGGCTGTGTGCAGAGGTGGTGCGTCCCGCTAGCGCGAGCGGCGATTATCCCTGGGGTGTGACTGATTCCGAGTACGACGTCGGATGGTGATTCATTCAATCATCACGAGTTCAGTCTTACTGCGCAGCGAACGGGCTCTAAACCTTTCCAAGTAGGATTTGGAATGGAGACGCTGGCAGATGTCTGAGTGCAGCAGCAGCGCCCGGTGCCACGTTAACGCTCTCCACGACCTTAATCCCACTACGATGTGCTGCTTCCTGGCTCTGTGTGCTGACCGCGGATCTCCTGTGGGGGAAGGTGCTCCCGCTCCGAAATAGAGCGAGGGCAATGTTACCAGGCACCGGGTGGGAGGAGATCACGAGTGTCTATTTGGCACTGGCTCTCGTGGACACAGTGCGCAGACACGTACATATGGCCACCTGATACATAGTAATGACTTAGGTAATGCCGGGTTTTAGTTAATACGATCCGAACGCCAACTTTTATTTTAGTAACTGCTGTGTACTTAGCATAATCCTCCCGAAATTCCTTCCCGAATCCACGTGCCTCTTTAATAACATCTTGATAGGTTGGAGCAACTGCTGCGCTGCGGGTCCAGATTTGCGTGTCAGGCCAACGACGAAGTTCACGCGTGTGCTAAATCCCCACCCGACAGAGTTAACCGAAGGTGGGCCAGCACAGCCTTCACAGAGCTGTCTCGCTCTAAAAAAGGATACTTGGCAAATCAGGGCTCTTTGGGGCAGGACTGAAGCGGTGCTTTTGGATTCTTGTCGTTACACACTCCATCAGGGAAGAGGAACCCTGTAAAAGGACTTGCAAAGCAGCAGCAGCACGAAAACCGGGCTGGTAAGGCTTAACGTCACGAAGCAGCGACTCGTGCCGCATCTGAGACGGCGTGTGCACGCCGATTCTGAAGTGTACCGACTAGTTACGGCGCAGAAAGGGGTACGATGGGGAACGGAAAACTGCTCCCTGTGCTACAGCCCTGTGACAAGTTTTCCAGTGCCAAGGATCGGAGGAGAAAGCGCTGCCAGGCAATGCGGCCGTCACATCTGTCCCACCGCAGCCGCGCGGGTTTGCCGGCTCTTCCACTGAACGCTCGTTGAGATTCAGCATCCCATAGAAGAGGGACAAAAGATTCTGTTCTTGATCTTCTCTCTTGTGCTCCAGCCTCTGCTTTTGGTCTTGTGTCACAAGTAATTAACTACGAGGTTCCGCAAGACACATGGCAGGCTCGGTGTTTCCGAGGAGGCGGAATCTGCCGCCGCACGGATGGTGTGTTGGGAACCGCTGTTTCCCGGAGAGATTTATTCCCCCTCGGGTCATCTACGATTGTTTGACCAGCGGAACCTGTAGATGCACATTTGCTGGAGCCCCTGAAGGCCCCGCAGATTTGCTCACCGCGTTCAGCACAGCGTGGATTTATCCCAGCCCACGCTCCCTGGCAAATAGTTCCCTCGTAGCCCAAAACCACACAGGTATTAAGGCACTCAGGCCAAATTCATCCTATGTGTAAGGCTTACTCATGGAAAATCTGCAGAGGAGTGAAAAAATGTGGAAGGTAATCAGATGAGAAGACGCTACGGAGCTTTCAGGGTTCATTGAGCAATAAAATTGGTCTGATTTCCAGCAGCAGTGGTTCCTGCAGAAGCAACGACGTGGGTGAGAATTTATACAAGAGCATTTGGTGCACTGACTGGATTTTAAGTCTAACGCACTGAGGGAATTGTCTCCTCAGCACTGCTTGGTTGGCCAAAGTCACACGTTAATGTTAAAAGGGGAGAAAGCCCTCCCCTCCCCACGAAGGCATGGCATGCCTTCCTGCACTCGGCACAGGGGGCTCAGAGAACTCAATAAAGATGAGATGTACTTCGGGCTGAAGCACGCCAGTGCCCAGGCAGCTGTCGTCTTCCCAGGCAAGCTGCGTGTGATTTGGGGTGGGAAGAAAACCACGTTCTGCTAGCCAGCGATCAAGCCAGATGCGTGGGGGTTTTTAAAATTCCGATTAATTTGTCAAGAGACCCCGAAGCAGGTTTGTACGAAACTCTTAGGGCAGTTCCTGAGGATTATTATTAAAAGCCCTATTTTTCATGAGATTTCATGTAATGGGGGGGTGGGGTGGTGTTTATTCACGTTGTTCTACATTTTCCGGCTTCTTAGCTGCACCTCATGTGACCAATAAATATCTATTTTTGTTGGCTAAGCTGCTCTGACTTGGAGCAGGATTTTTTAGTTGTGTTTCTATTGATCAGTTATCAACAGAATTAAA